TTTTTGTTTTTTTCCAACTGGCTTGTCTGCACGGAGATCTGAGCAGCCTCCCTTGCTGGGTGTGAAATGGATACAGCCCTGAGTGTTCCAGATCTGATCTCAGAGCAAAGATCCCTCTCCAAAAGGAGGTGTTTGTGTTTTCTAAACCCACAASAGTCTCACACCTTCCTGGTGTTAACACAGGTGGGGACAGTGGAACAAATAATTTATCAGAGAGGGTCTAAATTTCTATATTAGTCCCCCATCCAAGGAGAGAAATCTTATTTCTTTTATATTTGATACGATGCAGATTTGTAATTTCAAGCAAAATGAGCTAAGCACTGATTTTAATTCATTTCACCTCATTTTCTGAATGTCTGACTTAGAATTTCTCTGTCAAGACATGAGCGTGCTGTGAAACTTGGGAATCAATCCTGGCTTTCTTTGCAGTGAGTTTTTAACCCTGAAGTTTAGCACAAAAAGGACCTAACTTGCTGTTTTCTCTCTTTTTTTTTTTCTCTAGGAAAGATTGTTTGTCAGTGAAGAGAACATTGATGGATTTCTGGGTGCTGCTTTCTGCCCTTCCCCTTGCTCCCAATCAGCAGGGGAAAGCCAGGCTTTAATTGAAGTGCTGGATGTTACTGAGGACAGAATTCAAATCAGGGTGGAGGTAAGGATCCCTGCCTGATTTATGTTCTTCACCAAGATCCTATCAACCCCCACTGAAACAGCTTTGTTCCTGTTTTGTCCTGAGAAAGCAGGGGAAACCCAAAACTGGGCTGATTTGCAAGTATAAAACTCAGTTTTTAGAAGTAAATCTCGGTTTTTGTGCCATTTAATGTGACCAAAGGATTGCAGCCTCCTCTGTTTCATTTGGAMGATGGAGAACTGGGATTTAATCCTTAAAAAAAGTGCTTTTTTTTCTTGCAGGAATACTTCACTCTCTCAGCTTTGTACAGGTAGAGAAATCCTAGAGGGTTTTGTCTGGGAAGAATCGTGTCTCATCTTTATTCASTCCATGTGTTGGAATACTTGGAGGGTTCCTGTTGTGTAGATAATTAAACATGAGGCTATTAATCTTCAACACTGGTCTCAAATTCAATCCTGGTGGTTTCAGGCCTCACTCAGACTCTTATTCCTCTATCTAGAGCAGGATTAAACCATCCTCCCTTTGCAAAAGAGATGAAAAAATAAAAATGTTAATTTTGTAGGGAAGAAAATGTGAGGTAACCCCCCAAATTAACTGGGATTTCTTTCCAAAATTTGGGTGAAACATTTCTTAAAAAAAACATAAATGAAGGAAGAAGCAGGGCACTGAACTGGGGACTGCAGATGGGGTTAATGTGTGAATGATTTATTGRAGGCAAGTTCAGACAAAGCATGTGACCTCTGGAACTGGGCTGGAGGCCCCARGAGTTTCCTAAAGTTTGTGGATCCAGCTTCACTTTCACAGCTGCTATGGGTTGTACATAAAAAAAAAATCAAATTCCAAGTGCTGGAGAGCAGATGGGTCTGTTTGGGGAGCTGARAAAGGGMAGMTGAGATACCTCAAATCATCACATTCCTGCTCCTGTGTGGGGCCAGGAKTTGGGATTGATGATTTTTGGTCCCTTCCARCTCAGRGAATTCCATGATTGTGTTCATGTAGGACAATTTTCCAGTTTGGGAAGGATTTACTGGTGTTTCTTGTGTTTCCTGTTGGAGTGAGCAGTGGTTTGGGGTGTGAGAAAGAGATTTTTTTGAATCCATGAATCCAGCTGCTCATGGACAGATCCTGCCTCTCCCCTGCCAGTGATTTAGGAATTATCAGCAATTTTTTTTTTGCCCAAAACAAAAAATGGTGATGGTAACAGTGAAACTGGGGAACTGCTCTTTGGCAAACCACAATTCCTGGATGAGCTCCCCAGGTCGGTGATTCCCTGAAATTCCAGGACATCTGAGATCCCCTGGCTCATTCTGTGGTCCCAATTTATAAATCAGGCTGGGTGTGGTGAGTTTGGCCACTGCTGCTCCAGTTTGGCCACTGCCCAGCACCGTTTCCTAAAGCAGAGGAAACTCTGAGGACTCAAAAAGCCCTCCCTGCCACTCATTCCCACGCGCCCRACAAGAGCAGGAAAACCTCAACATTTGGCTCTTTTGGCTCCTGGAAGGACAATCATGGAATCAAGATCTCATTTAGGTTTTGGAGGAACTTTATCTGCTTCCAGGGAGAGGGAGATCTTTCACTGTCCCTGTTGGGAGAAACAAATCCCTCTTGTCTTTACAGTTGTGTGTGTGCACAGTTTGTTCCATTCCAGCTCTAAAATAATTCATTTATTTCCTTGACAGCCACAGGAACGTGATGGAGAAGGAACACTTGGCAGCTCAGGGGGAGCAAAAACCAACAGCAACCCCGAAACAAAGGCAGAAACAAAGTGTCCTGCAGCTGAGGAACGTGCTGCGGGATCCACCCCAGCTGAAACAATAGGAAAAGTAGGCTCCAGTTCACAGCATTGTTTGCAGCCTGAACCTCCTGACAGCGGTTCAGCCATTCCTGGCCACTCGGGGAGAAAAGAGCCCGATTTAGAAAATGCTGCTACAGCAGGAGAMACAGCCCCGGTGCCGGGATCTGGAAAACAAGAATTGCTGGAGGGGATGCCAGGATCCCCCATCCTGCGGGAAGTGAACCCTGAGGATGGCAGCGAGAGGATCCTGCGGGATCACCGAACGCACTGCCCCATCACTTTTCACAATTCTTTGCTCTATGACTTGGATTAGTTTCATTATTTTAGGATTTCCTTGTGTTGTTTGATTCTCGCTGCGATTTCCACTTTTCAGAGCAGCCCGTGAAACTGGTTCAACATCAAAACCTTACAATTTTCAGAGTTTAACAATTTTCTAATCACTAATTTTACTGATGAAAAAGTTGCAGTTYGAGGTGACTCTGAGCTCCTGGAAAAAGATGTATCTTTATTGTTTACATAAATTTTTTATTCTCTTCCCACGTTTCGGGGATTATTTGTATATATSCTTGGTCTAATGGCTCCCACGGGAATTAAGCAGTATTCATCATTTTCCAAACCTTTCATTTGGTGATAACTGCAGGATTAGACTCGCAGTGATTCTCAGCAATCAAACGAAAATTTCTAATTACCCAGAGAAGTTCTAATTAGTCTCCTAGAAATAATCAGCATTTATACCCTGCATTCCCTGCTAGTGCTGTGCTTTGGTTCTGCAGCACCCAGATATCCCCCAGCTCAACAAATTCCACTGCATAGGAACATCCTCTGGGTGCATGTCTGCTCTGCAGTATTTACAGTTGGTGAAATGRATTCTCTTTATCCACATTAGATTTATTTTTCACAGTTTCCCTTGAGTTTCAGCGTTTCTCACCTCTCTAAAGCACAATAACCAAGAGAACACATCTAATAATAAACTTCCCGTTCCCCTTTCTCAYTGCTGCTGAACTGTTTTCTCTCACTTCTGTTTTCTTTAGAGTGCTGCAGGACACAGAGGTGCTTTAGAGAGTTAAATTTGTCTCTGCTGGGCTAAGCTGAACCCCCAGCAGCTTTTTGGGAAAGGTCTGCCAGAGCTGAGGCACCAGCAACAGCCCTGACCCAGCACAACACAACACGGAGCAACCGCATTGCAAAATTGTAGTTAAATAACCCCTGGAAAAGGGAAAAAGCAGCATTTTCTTTCTCTAACATATTTATCTGTCTTACAAAGAGCTGCTGAGGTGCTTCTGCCACGGCTGTGGTTCAAAGAGGAGCAGCATTAAAGCAGCATCAACAAACAGCTCCATGGCTCCAGCTCAGCCCAGTCCCACCACACAGCAGCAGTTTTTACACAGCTGATGAATTCGAAAGCAACTTTTTTTTTCTCTAAAAAATCCAAACAAAAGAGGTGTTGTGCCACCAGTTCGCTACTCTTTTTTTCTGCCTCAATTAATGAGTATCATTAAAAATTTAATGAAGTTAAATGCACGCTGCTAGAAGGGGTGATGGCACRTGTCCAGCCCTCGGGATTAAAGAGAAACTCCCCCCTCCTTCCCATCCTGACTTTTTAGGAACATGAGATGACATCATCTTTTTGCTGACAATCAAGAACTTCTCTAGGCTTACAAAACAACTGAATTTTTATTTCGGCAGAACTAAAAAAATCATATATTTATCTACATCGTAGTAAAAACAATGAAATTTATTTTTTTTTTGTCATCCTTCATATATTCATCRAACACAGCGCAACCGAACCGGGACTCGGGGATGGGGCGTGAGGTGACCCCGGGTGGGACCTCGGGCACCACCAGAGCTTTGAAGCACCAAAAAAGATGCACTTAAAAAGTGTTCTCTTCCTCCTCCTCCTCCTCCTCCTCCCAGCAAACACAGCAGCAGGTCACTTTTTGCGTAGGGGCTGCAGCACGTCACCCGTTTCCAAAACGTGGTTGCCAAACATGAGAGATTACTATTTTGGGACACCTTTAACAAGAATGTTTATTCAGATTAAAGCAGAAACCAAYTGATAAATGCTGTTTATACACGTGTGTGCCCGTAAAAGACACAATGGAACAACTCGAGAAGAAAAAGAAGGCTGCGAGAAGGATCCTCACTGGAGTCGGCGGTAACTCTTACAGAGTTCRTGGTCCCTGATGTCTCCCCACCCTCCGTTCTTGACGTGAGGGGACAGGGGAGCCATGGAGTACCTTTTACTGACACTCATCGCCTCGGGAAACAGGTACTGTTGGTTGCTGTTCAAGAGAGAGTCGATTTTGGCACTCTGGGTRGACGGTCTGCARGATTTCTTGTGGTGCATGCCACAGTCCCCCGTGTGAAAAATCCTGGGGATTTCGGGAACCAGCACTTTCCAGAACTTTGGAAGACAAGAGACAGTCAAGTGCTGCAGAGTCCAGTCCCAGTTGTAGTCATCGTAGGTGCAGAAGGCRTCCGTGCACTCGATGAGTTTCTGGTAGGTGTCTCTGCCGAATGCCATGCCCATGTTGTGCTCCGTGGATTTCCACGTCTTCATCTCCACCTTGTCGGCGCGGCCGGCGAATCCGCCCCGCACGGGGCTGTAGGTGCCCAGCGACACGAGCTGGCACTCGGGGCACTCGCGYTGCCGCAGCGCCCACAGCCGCTTGAGGACGTGGTAGAAATCGGGCGCCAGGTAATGATCCTCCTCCAGGAACAGCACGGGCCCCGCGTGTTCCCGCAGCGCCCGCACGCGTTCCCACACGAAGTGCAGCTTCCACCACCAGTGGTGCTTGGTCTGCGCGAACCGCGCCTCGCGGTAGTGCCCGAACGAATCGGGGAACTCGGCGTTGATGCAGCCCAAGCGCAGCGCCGCCGCTTTGCCCACGTCGCGGGGGCAGTCGCGGGGGTCGTGGCCCGGGAATTCGCGCGGGTACAGCTGGATGCTGAACGGGAAGAACACCTGCAGCACCGGGCAGAAGTCCACGCGGGCCGCCAGCCGGTTGAGCTCCTCGGCCCACAGGTCGTGGCTCAGCACCAGCAGCACGTTCTCCACGCCCGGCGCCCGCCGCAGCGACTCGAGCAGCAGCCGCAGGTGCTCGGCGCGGTCGTGCACCTGCACCACGAGCACCACGTCGGGCCGCGCCGGGAAGCGCCCGGCGTTCCGCACCGGCTGGTCGAAGTTCAGGCGGTACACGAGCGAGCGGTAACTCAGCGTCGCGTTCTCGGACAGCACCTCCGCCGCCACGGCGACCGACGCGTTTGCGGCGGAGCGGCGCGGCACCGGCGGCGGGGGCTCGCTGACCCGCGGCGGCTCCCCGGTGCTACCGGGACCGCCCCGCTGCTGCTGCTGCTGCTGCTGCTGTTGCTGCCGCCGCCGCCCGCCGCCGCCGGTGCCCCAGAGCGCCAGGGCGCAGAGCGCCAGGGCCAGCGCCAGCAGCAGCACCTTGCGCTTGTAGACGCGCAGCCGCATGGTCCCGGCGGCGGCGGCCCCGCTCCGCCGCTCCCGCCGCCGCCGCCGCCGCCGCTCCCGCTCCCAGCGCGCGCGCGCCGCCGCCGCCCCGCGCGCACACGTCGCCGTTCCTCATTGGCCGGCTCTGCCGCCGCCGCGGCCGTTCCATTGGCTGGAGGGGCCGTCAATCAACTCGCCGCGCTTCCGCCGCGCGGGGGGGGCCGCGCAGCCGCCGCCGTCGCACCGCGCTCTGATTGGGCGGCGCCGAAAGGGGCGGGGCCAAAGGGTGACGGGCGTGGGGGGCGGGAAGGGGCAGCGAAATCCTTCGGGATTGGGGCAAAAAAGGGAAAATAACTGGAAATGCACGGAAAACACACGGAAAGCACCCGGGATTCGAGAGAGTAACGTAGAAGAGAATAGAACACAAGATTTGAGGAATAGGACATTAAAAATCGTTATGCAATGGCAAGAATAAGGTGAAAAATCATTCAAAAAATGCAGGAATAAGATAAAATCACTGTAGGACTGAAAGAATAAGGTAAARTAATTCTCAGGTTGAAAGAAAACAATTGTAACATTGACAGAATAAAAGAAAATAATACTGTATTAGAAAGATTAAGATTACAAACCCATTCTAGAAAGGTAAGAATTAACAAATTCACTCCAGCATTCAAAATTGATTCTAGAATTGCAAGTATTAAATGACTCCAAATTTTTTTACATTAATATGAGTAAAATAATTCTAGAACTGCAAGAATAAGATGAGAAAACCATCATAGATTGGCAAGTATAATATATAGAAAGATAAAATTCCAGAATGATAAAGACAAGGTAACAAAACCGTTCTGGGTTGGTAAAAACAATATTTGAGAAAAAATTATTCTGGAAATGCAAGAATTACACAATTCCAGAATGGCAGGGAATAAGATAAAATTGCTCCAGAATTTTAAGAACAAGAGAAATRATATAGATTTGAAAGATTAAGATAATTTTAAAAGTCTAGAATTGTAAGAGATTCATGCTAGGATTGCAAGAATAATTTATTCTAGATTTGAAAGAATATATGGATAAAATAGTTCTAGAAAGGCAATGGGGGGGAATCTAGAATTGCAATAATAATGCTTTAAAATCACTGGAATGGCAAGAATGCAATAAAAATAATTCAGGAGCTGTGAGAATATGGTAAGAAAATAACCCCAGAACTGCAAGGATCAGGTAAGAACATAATTCTAAAACTTCAAGAATAAGTAATAAAATAACTCTGTGATGACAAGAATAACACRTAATAATTCTAGAATTTCAGGAATATAAGAAGACATTCTAGAATAAGAATAATCCATAAGATATTCTAAAATGATGAGGATATCATAAACCAATATGTAATTATAATTAATGGTGATAATTCCTCTGCTGATTTTCCTGTCACACACCAGGATAAATAATAATAAATAAATAATAATAAATAAATAATAATAAAAATAATAATAGTAATAAAAACACCTGATTGCTTGGCTGAGAGCATGAAGGGACAGGACACAGGGAATAGCTTCAAACTGGAAAATGGAGGATTTAGGTTGGATCTTGGGAATTGGGAATTGCTGGCTGGGATGGAATTCCAGCCCTGGATCCCTTTGAGTGCCCCAGGCCAGGCTGGACATTGGGGCTGGGAGCAGCCTGGGACAGTGGGAGGGCAGGGGTGGAATGGGATGGGATTTAGGGTCCCTTCAACCCAAAGCATCCCAGGATTCTGCCAACAGGGCTCCCCAGGAGAGAGAGACCCCCGTATCGTGTCCAAAATTCCTGCAGTCCCACAGGAGCCCAGGATTCCATTCCCGCCCCATTTCCCTCCTCTGATCACTGCTCCCCCAAAAGGTGTTTTTCTCCATGAATCTCCCTCCCTTCACAGCAGCATCAGCCCGGGGTTAGCTCTGCTGAATGGGTGTAATTCCAGGACCATGGAATTGTCAAAATCAGGAAAAACCTCAAATATTGAGTCCAACCCTTCCCCAGCACCACCGAGGCCATCACTGCCCCACGTCCCAATGGATTTTAAACCCTTCCAGGGATGGGGACTCCACCACTGCCCACCAGCYCACCCCTTCCATGAGGAATTTTTCCCAATATCCAATCTAAACCTCCCCCAGTCAGCCCTCAGTGCCACTCCAGAATTGTGCTGCCTCCAAACCATCACATGTCCAGGACATGGGATTGCTCAAAACTCCTCAAGGGACCTTTGTTCCCTGCTGTTCCAATCTCCCAGTCATGCAGCAGCTGAGGAGATGTGAAATAAAGAGTTTGTGGATACGCTCAGTGTTTGGTGTCTTCCCCAGAAAAAAAAAGCCTGCAGTTAATTAATGGAAAACAATGCATGAAAATTTCCTCAGACAAAAACACAATCCACAAATCCATAGAAGGGTTTCAAAATTTAATAAGTCAACACAGTGAAACAAATTGAAGAATCGTTAAAATGTGAGGATTAAGAAACAAAGTTTCAGGCACGTGTTTAGAAAAAAAGACATTTCTGCTATCACAAAGAGGGGAAACCCCCAAAAAAAAACATTTGCTCTGGTAAAAACCCAGCAATGCTGGTCCCTGCTCGAAGTGGGAATGTTTTAACAGAATCTTTAAAAAAGAAGCACCTGGAGTTACATAACCGGTTTGGAWGTGATTTCTCCTCCACAGTAAAAAAGTTGGGAAGAGTGGAGTGCAGTCCCTCGTGTGGGTAAGTTTGGGATCCCAAAGAGGAGCCACTTACCCCACAAAACATAGAAAACTGCTGCGAGACTCCGAGCAAGAGCCCTGGGAGCAGGAAAAGGAAAATCCATTCTAAGGAAGGTTCTCTCCAGCTAAACATTGCTTTGTGCTCCAACCAAAAGAAGTTCCAGAGGGGGAGAAAAGCCAGGCCTGGCTCAGGCTGGGTGTCCCTCACTCGATCCCAGAATGATTTCTCTCCACAGAAGCACCGGTGACACCGCGGGCGGGCAGAGAGCAGGAAACACCTCCAGCTCCTCCATCCCTGGGCACAACATCGGGCACAGCTTTGCCACCGTGGTCACCCATTGCTCTGCAGGTGCCTGTCCAGGAACTGGGAATAGCAGTCCAGAGAGCAGAAATAGCAGAGGATGGGAGCCTCGGTGCCTCCCATGTTGTCCACCAGCACCACRGTGTGGGCCACGTGGTGCAGGTTCATGGTCACCGTGATCTGGATGAAGCTGCTCAGGCAGGCACTCCCACAGCGACACGTTTTGGCCACTTCCAGGTCCTTACAGAGGTGGGAAGGGAGGAGGTGACAGCCGTAAGGGATTCTGTGGAGTGAGAGGAGTGARGGTGAATTCACCACAAAATTCACACAAATGCAGAGACAGGCCACAGGCATCAGCTAGGAGAGTTATTCTGATCATTCCCRGAGCACAGATGTGGAAAATTGGAGATTTTGGACTGGTTGGGAATGAAATGCCACTTCCCAAGACAGTCCCTAAGGACTTGAACTCCAGGAGACACCACAACAGGGAGCTCACAGCAATCCTGACAGCCTGGGCCACGGCCAACAAGGGAATTAGGAAGATTAAGAATAATGAGAATTAGAGAATTCAAGGAAGATTAAGAATAATGAAACAACTGGGCACATTCCGTTCTTCCCTCACATTCCCCAGGGAGAGCTCTGTGTTTCACCCTGATTTACTCCTCCGTCTCTAACACCTCAGAGAAAGCAGGAGGGAAAAGGAGCCTTTTGCAGCAGCACTGCCCTGCAGGCATGAAATGCAAAGTTCTGCCACTCCACAGCTCTCTCCATGCCACCATCGTGTCAGCAATGACATCCAGAGTCAGGAACGGGAATTGCTCCTTTTGGAATGTGCAGCAAAGCTGTGATGAGTTTGGGGTACAAAAGAAACAATTTCCCTGCAGGATTTTGTCGGGGCAGCTGAAGTGTGGGGCTCAGCAGTGCCCAGCTGGCACTCCAAACTCAGCTCAGATCCCACTGACTCACATCCTGCCTCCACCTACACATTCCCAATTCTTTCCACACACCATCACTCACACAGCCAAGACTCCGATGGGTTGGTTTTGTTTTTTCACCACTTTAATTTCAGAACACCCTTTTTTCTGGTGAGGAAAAGCATAATCAGAGCTCTGGTGCTTTCCCAGATTGAAGATTGATTTCTAAATATTATTTTTGCATCTTCCTTCCTTCTGTTTTGGCTCTTCCTCAAGGTTTTTRCAGTAACTGAAATCTGACCAGTGCTGAGGGATTCCATCCTCTAGAAAAAAAAACCCAGTCTTAATATTTACATCAAATCCACTGCAATTTACATAAATTTGGGAAAGGAGACGTGTGGGGTTTAATTAATAAAACCATCAATGTCAGAAATGGATGATTAGGYCCAGAACATGTGGTGGCTCAGCTCCCTTCAGGGTGTGCCTGTAGATGCCTTTGGTGCAAATTTCTGCACAATYACCACGGGTTTATGGGGCACTCCCCACCCTCAAGGCAGGAATGGGCACAGGATGGAGATCAGGGACAGTTGAAACCTCTCTCTCACCCCTTTCTGTGCCAAATTTCTGTCTTTGTGCTCTCTTTTCACCCAGAACAGGGTGGGAACAGCAGCACTGGTACCTGGAGTGATGGAATTGGTGTGGGTGGGGGAAAAGGAGAGAGCTGATAACAAACAGCAGCCTGGGAGGATGTTATYTATTTGGTGAAATAATATTTTTTAAATTACTTCAGACCTGGGGTTTTGTGAATAAGGCAGAACACTCCAACACCAAGGGAAATTAGAAGCTTAAAGAAAACCTGTGGCAGGGAGAAGCCTGCAGCAGAAGCACCTCAGGGCTGTAGAGCTGATTCTCTTTACTCAAAGATTCAAACATTCTGTTCATCCCTCTTTGGTGGATAAAAACACCTCAGACTGGCTTTTCCTAAWTTCCTCCAAAGGCACTAATTCCCTGCTTTGTCCTGACGGTTTGACAAGTGGAATTCAAAGGAATTTTAATCTTATGAATTTAATGGATGATGAGCAACAGGCAGAGAGGGGAAAGGAAAGAGCTAAGTGAGGGAAGGTGGAGGGACTGGACAGGTGAGGAGCAGTGCAAGGTGTGCCCTCACCACCCTTACCTGTGATTGATGGTAGCCCTGGCAGCACACTCCAGCAGAGTCAACGGGATTTTCAGCTGGATGTTGGGAACCAGYGGGTTGGGCTGCTCGAAAGGATTCCCAAAGAGATCCAAATTCTCCAGAGACAGTTTYCTGAAGTCACTGGGCAGGAAGGGCAGCTTGTTGCGCGCGGCCGACAGGAAGCGCAGGCGGCTCAGCTGCCCGATCCTGCAGGGCAGGCGCAGCAGGGCGTTGTCATCCAGCTTCAGCTGCACCAGACCCCGCAGCTGGCAGAACTCAATGGGCAGAGCCTGGATCTGGTTCTGGCTCAAATCCAGGAACTGCAGGCATTTCTGCAGGCCTGAGCTGCACAGGGCCCCGCTGAAAGCCTCCAGGTGGTTGTCGTGCAGGTCCAGCTCCTGCAGACACACCAGGTCCCCCAGCGTGGCCGGCAGCTGCTTGATGTGGTTGTGGCTCAAATCCAGCTTGCGCAGCTTCTTCAGGGACAGCACCCTTGTGTCGATCCTGGCCAGTTTGCAGTATGAGGTCTGCAGGTGCTCCAGGGAGAAAGGGAAGCTCTTGGTGAGGGGATAATCCCTCCTGGAGGTGATGATCATTTTGGTCTTGGGTTTCTCCACGTCGGAGTTCTTGGCTGGGACCAGAGGTGAGAGAGGGAGAGCTCCTGCGTCGGTGCCTTGGTGAGCCAGTCTCACGGCTGAAAGGAAAGTCTTTAAATTGCTCACATTTGCCTGCGGGAGAACACAAGGCTGGAGTTAAAAGTTCATTATCCTTGCTTATTGACGCTTTTTTGGGTGTGTAACTCAGCTGGGTCATGGGATGGGAGAGGGAACAGCTCTGTTATGAATAAACTGAGTCGAAGTGTGCTGCAGCTGAAAATAAAGTACAGAAAAAACCCTGATCCACTGGGACCTCCCTAAAATCCATCAGGATAAAGGACAGACTCACATGGGGAAATCAGAGGTCTAAAACCTGAGGCAGTAATTCCTGGAAGTTGGTAGGAAGGAAAAAGGATGGAAGTTGGGGTTAAATTCAGCATAAAGGAAGGTGGAAAGCTTCCAGGCAGGTGAAGGCGGTGGCCACACACAGCTTTAGCAGACAGGAGGAAAAGTCTTTGCAAACAAAGAATGCTTTAGGAGGGATACAATGTAAAAAAATGGCAGAAAATTCCCAGACTGGTTGGCGTTGGAAAGAACCCTAAATCCCATCCCACCCCCTGCCATGGCAGGGACACCTCCCACTGTCCCAGGCTGCTCCCAGCCCCAATGTCCAGCCTGGCCTTGGACATTTCCAAGGATCCTGGGACAGCCACAGCTGCTCTGGGAATTCTATTCCAGGGCCTCCCCACCCTCACAGGGAAGAATTCCTTCCCAAAATCCCACCCATCCCTGCCCTCTGGCAGGGGAAACTGTTAAAAGCTTCCACTGACTTTCACTAAGAACAGAGTATCAGGTGACTTGTATTTAAATAAAGATCCAGGAAGCTGAGATACATCTGTTGCACTGATTTAATTCACTTTTACGAACAGCAGGGTGACCAAATATTTATTTTCTATATTTTCCAGCAAGTCTCTGCCTGAGCTGACAGACACTGAGCTAAAAAGTGAATTCTAAAATAAAAGCCACAATGCAGCCTTAAAAGAAAAGAACAAACTTGAAGTTTTAGCAGAGCTCTGGAGCCCAGAGGTTGTCCCTGTGCTCCCAGCTGTGACTGCCCAAGCTCAGGGACACATTTGGCACCTGAAAGACAAACCTGCTCCTCAAAATTTTTGTTTGGATCAAATTTAAGAGGGCTCAGGACTAGAGTACAACAAAACAGGGATATTGGAGATAATCCTGGATGGAATGGGAGATAAATAAAGAGATTAAAGGTCAAACATAATTGACTGCATCTGTAAACTAAAGTTACCATTTTCTTTAATTAAGCATTCCAAGCACAACTCYTGCTCTGACACCTTCCAGAGGTGGGAAAGCTGCCCAACAAACACCGTGGGATGCAAGACAGRTTATCCAGAGAAACTGTGGCTGCCCCATCCCTGGAAATGTCCAAAGCCAGGGCTTGGAGCACCCTGGAACAGTGGGAGGTGTCCCTGCCCRTGGCAGAGGTGGGAAGCACAATTTTCCCCCACAAAACATCCTAAGGGACATGTAGGATTTCTAAACCTGTTGCTGAGAAACCCTGAATGGGTTGAAGAAAATACTAAGATATATCTAAGGAAAAAAAAAGCCAATAATTAGTTGGAATAGCTCAGGATGCAATTTCCTGCCACAAACCTGAAGCCTCAGCCACAGAGACAATGTTGAGAAAGCAGTTTAATGTGTGGTGATGCCTCCCACAAAAGACCCAGATTTTATTATTTCTGCTCCAGGGTTGAATGCTCTGGTCTGGTGTTTCCCAACTCAATTCCTGACCCGCTGAGTGCAGCAAACCCAGTGCCTGGCAGAGCACAAACAGGGGGATTTCCCAGGGCAGCTGCACACAACCAATATTTCCATTTCCAGTACCTGGAAACCTCTTTTCCACAAAGGTTTTGTCCATCTTTGAGAGTTGAGAAGTTTTTCTGTAATAAAATAATAAAATTCTGGCAGAAAACTACAGAAAAGTTAAGAAAGATCTTCAATCTGGGTTCTGGATTTGGAGCATTTCAGAGGAACCTGTAATATTTTGTGATAAACTTTCTGATTTCTCACTCTCCAGCAAAACAATTCGGAGTAAAGCAGGCAGAAGATATTCTGAATCTAATGAAAGAGCCTTAATTAAAAAAAAATACACATTGGTTTCTAACAGGAAAAACTTAATTGGGTTTGGTCTTCTCCTTTTCTGATTAACCCTTTAACCATTTCATAAAATTAAGGCTGCCTTCCTCATATTCAAACAACAGAAAGGCAAAAGGATTTTCCAAACCAGCAATCAACATTATTTGCTTTTCTTACTCTATATATAAAGTTTTAGGTAAGAATTCAGAGGTTTTAGAGAAAAACCCTACAGGGATATAAAACATTCCTTCAACTTGCACAGAAGAAAAGGACATGAGAGTTTACTGTTAATATGTGATTTTTTGGGTGAGTTTAGCATTGTTAAAAATACTTTACAGCTTCCAAAAAAATCTATGAACTGCAAATAAATACTGGTGTTTGAAATGAGGAGAGGTGGTGCCTGTGCCCTGGGCTGTGTGTGCTTTGAAAGCCACAGTGGGCATTGATGTTTGTGCACAAAAACAAGAGGATTCTCCATTTATTTTCCGTGAGAAACACTGTAAAAACAACTATTTAATGGASTTTAAGGCCAGAGAGCAACATTGTATCAGAGCGGTGAAAAAACTYGTTCCTAAGGAAGCTGTGAAGAACAAAATAAAAACGGACTTTGGAAGACSCAGAAGAACACAGTCCAGAAAATAGGGAACGGCTTCCCAGTGCCAGCGAGCGGGGATAGATGGATACTGGGAAGGAATTCCTGGCTAGGAGGGAGGGAGCCCCTGGAATAGAATTCCCAGAGAAACTGTGGCTGCCCCTGGATCCCTGGAAGTCCAAGGCCAGGCTGGACATTGGGGCTGGGAGCAGCCTGGGATGGGGCAAGGTGCCCTATGGCAGGGGGTGCAATGAGATGGGATTTAATGTCCCTTCCAACCCAAACCATTCTGGAATCCTACCGTCCCTGCCCCGCTTGCTGTGGCGGTCCCGGAGCCCCCCGGAGCCCCCCGGCCCCGCCGCTCCCCGTTCCCGGTGCCGGTCCCACCTTGCTGAGGCACAGATCCACCGCGGGCTCCCGCAGCCGCACCGTGGCCTTTCCCTCGTCCACGAAACGCGTGAAGAGCCGCTCCACGTTCTGCTGCACCTGCGGGCACAGCGGGCTCAGCGGCATTCCCCGGGGCACCCCCCCACCCCCGGCGCGGCCCGCCCCCGCCGCTGTCCCCACCTTGTAGCGAGCCCCGCCGCGGTCCCGCGCCGTGCACACCATCAGGTAAATCCCGGCTCCGGCAGCGCCGGGCGGGCGCCCGAGAGACAGCAGCGCCCGCGCCCCGCGGCCGCGGCCCTGCAGCCCGCAGGTGGGCAGGAGCCGGCTCAGCACCTCCACYTCGCACTGCAGCCGCATCCCGGTCCCGGTCCGGACCCAAACCCGACACCGRTACCGGTACCGGGCCCGGCCCGCGCACGGCGGGCGGCGCCGCCGGGGCCCTACGGAGCTGTGCGCGCACGGCCGCCCGCCGTGGTGCCTG